TGACCCTGAGCCTGTGTTACAAGATAAGAAAGTTCTATCGTGATCCTAAGGGTTGTATAGCGAAATTAAAGCAATGAAAATAAGGGCAAACTTATGGCAATAGTTATGAATGAGTGTGAATTCGTTCTGAGAGTGAGTGTTGAAAAGTGATCCTTATACTCAAACTGAAATCATTGTGTGAAAAATGAGGATTTTTTTGAAGTGAGGACACTAGTTGCAGTACCGGAAATGTTAGCACCTCAGTGAGAAATTGAAGAGGATAAATGTTAGTGCTTGGTGAGTCTGTGTCATGGTCTGGTTCCACATCATTCAAGCCTAATAGTGATAGCATGCATAAATATGATGAGATTAATGGGATTGATAGCCAAATGATTGCAAAGGATAAAACATGGATACTATTGTACAAAGATTTTGTATTGAGTCATAGTGCGTCGCTTGAGGACAAACAACGAATTTAAGTTGAGGGTGTTGATATACCGTGGTTTCACGGTATTATTAATACTTTTTCCTTAAGATTAGTGAGTCCAAAAGCCTTTTTGTGCTAATTTCTATATAAGTTTCTCCTTATTTGCAGGAAATCTGTCCAAAGATGAATGTGGAGGTTTTTGAGCGAAGAAATGCAGAAGAGACCACCTACGAAGCTTGTGACGGTCCGTCATGCTCGTGACGGTCCGTAGGTGGCAGCGTAGTGCATCTGCTGAAGGAAGATGGGGAAGTCTGACCAAGTGTGGGGTTACGGAAAGCGTGACGGACCGTCGTATCCATTACGGTCCGTCCTGCAGGTTCGTCATGAAGTTCAGAGAAGTAGTCCAAGTATAAGACGACGGAGTCCATGATGGTCCATCGTGACCACGACGATCCGTCGCGATGTCCGTCGATCCAGTCCCGTTTTGACAGATTTCTAGCAAATAGAGTCCTTGTTTAATTAGGTTTTTATTTTCTATAAATAGTTCAAAAAACCTCGTTTTTGCGGTTAGACTCTAGATTATTTTGTTAGGCCCTTGATTATTGTTAGATTCTTGATTATTTTGAGATTCTATTAATTGATTGTTGGTGATTTTTGTTGATTAATCAAGAGAACTTTCGGATTTTACTCTTTCTCATTGAAGTAAGTACATGAATTCTTATACCATATATTTGAATATTGTGATGATATTGTCACTGGAGAAGAACTACAAAGAAAGATAGAACAGATCACTCAGGAAATTCAAGAAGTTAAGGAGGAAGGGCTCAGAGTCGATATGGCCACCGCAATCTACAAAGCTGCAACTGTGACGCTGGATGAGGATCTGGTATCACAGATAAAGAAAAAGAAAGATGTTGAGATAGAGACAGAGGACTTGCGAGAAAAGTTGGACACGCTTCAGTTGAAAGTGCAAGAAAGAGAAGCGAGAGAGGCGAGGATAGAATCGTAGAAAGCTGCTCTGTTAGCTAAAAGCATGTCATTTGATAAGGAGCTGACAGTGGAAATGGAAGAATTTGCCTCCATGAGAGAAAGGATGGTTGCACTGAGGAAGAAGAACAAAGCTTTCCATAGCAACATGATTGATAATCTTCGGAAAATGGGTGAAAAATACCCCATCTACGAGCAAGGAGACAATAGTTGTCCATTTTTTTTTATTTTCCTTTTATGGAGTGCAGCAAGTGTACCGACGAATTTGAATCGCTCTCAGCTCTATCAAGTCTCGGTATATCAGGTTCAAGGGTGAGCTATTCATTCAAGCTTGGGTTGGATTCTCTCAGTCATTACATGATGTCCTTAGTTTCCGGACATGAATTACTTTATTTCATTTATTTTTGGTGCCTTTGATACTCTTAGACTTAATAATTAGAGATTAGATGTCTTTGTTGTGATGAATTTCAGATTTTGGAAAAAGATATTTTGTAAATTGTTGAGTTTCCGTATTAATTTTTTTGTTATTTGTAATTGAATTATTGAAAGATATTGGGGTTTGAATTCCTTGGTTCGCTCACTTAGGAGGTTAAGTGTGATGTCACTCACGATTCATTTTAATCGTGACATTGTTGCACCATTTAAATTTTGAAAGTAACTCTTTAACATGAAATTTAAATTTTTAAAAATAAATTCACACCTTTTAAGTATTATACATAATGTCATAATAATTGATAGTTTAAGATATATGTAAAAAAACAAATGAAAAGATTATTATAAAAAAAAAAACTCGTTTGACTTAAATAAACAAAATGAGTATCAAGTTATTTTAACATGTTGGAGAAAGTATTTCTCTATTTTACCAATTTTATTTTCTATGAATAAGACATATATCTTTTATTTATATATGATAATTAATGTCAAACCCTTTCACATACCGATATAAAAGTAAAACTCAGACATAAAATGATATTTTCTTCCGTCGAAAATAAATGAATTTGTGATATGTTCTTTTATGATTCAAAATGAATAATTTTTTTGAAAATGTTTATTGAGTTTTTCAACACTATTTCTAATAGAAGAATTTGGAAAAAAAAATACTAATAAATTACTCATTAATTAATATTGTTTGCAACAAATTTTAAAATGACAAAAAAGTAAATGACAATCACAATATAATAAGAAGAAACATAACTTTTGACAAAGATTGGGATATAATTGTGTTGCTCACTTGATTCTATTTTTCAAGATTTATCATGATTCAATGGCCATTAGTGACGTATTTCTCGAACTAGGATGATTTAATTTTGACTTCTATATCAATATTTCATCAATTTGCAAAATATTAGAGATCTTGATCTTCTTATAAAATTTTCGAGATACATTTTATAGAAATTTAGTACCTTTTATATAAACATAAACTAAATTTAGAGTTGACTAGTCTCCAATAGTTCTAATTGAAACTGAACACTCCTTCAACAATCCCAATTTAAATTGAATCATCTTGTAGAGTTTCACAAAATTTTAATGTATATAAATATTACTATTATTATTTAGTAATTTTAAAAATGATATGCCACAATTGAAAAATATATTTACTTTTGTTACTCTCTCGTACTATATAATATGTTAATCTGAGCCACAATACATACTAAAGTCTGACCAGTTGAACTTAAGATGATGTATTACCAAAAGAACTTTGGGAAACATCGAAACATACGTCAAAACCCCCAGTTTTAATGCAATTATTGAGCCATGGTTAAGAGTAAAGGAATATCTTTAAGGTGGTGATTTGAAATAAGTTATTAATATATTTATATAAATATAATTTATTTTGTCAAGATAAAATAAAAAATTTATCAAACAGTAAATATATTTGGATATTCTCTGTTTCAATTTATATAACACCCATTTTACTTGGCTAGAATATGTCATAAATTCTCAAGTATTTTGGCAAGTCATAGAGTAAGTTCTAACTTTTAAGTGAAGTTTCAATATACCTTTTACTATAAATTTTGGAAAATAAACATTTGACTTTTTCTAAAAGTATAATGCATTTCATAAGTTTTAAAAATTATTAAAATTACTCATAAATTTGTCTTATTGTTTTATAAAAAATATGTTTCGTTAAATAATAATAATAAAATATAATTAATTACAATCAACAATAACAAAAATAATATGAACAAAAGCAGTAAAATAATCTATATGCATATCAATGTATCACTGATTTAGGATAAATTATAACCAGTAAAACAAGTTGTTCTTTTTAATGAAGTTGACTATAAATAGATATTATTTGAAATCAATAGATGAAGGATGTTTTCAATAAAATATAGAAGTTTGAGTAATTTTTAAATTTCTAAAAATTGTCAAATACTAGAATTTAACGCAAAATCTTATTCAAAAAACAAGATTGAAAATTTGAAATGTTTGCCAAATATATTTATCAAATAACGACAAACTATATAGCCGAACACAAGCTAATTTCCAAGTTCTTTTTTCAAGTTTTTTCTCAAATATACTTATACTCAAACAGCCCTTAATTTGTTTCAAAAGAAATAATAATCGCATTTTTTTCTTAATTAAAACAATTCAAGTTAAAAAGTACCATATAAATTTAAACAAAGAATATGAAATATAAAAATGTGTCAAATTCCTTTTGATATTGACTATATATACTGTAGAAGTATATCATTCTATTTAGAGTTTAAAGGTTGAAAATATAAATTTTAATTTATTGAATTTTATATCCAAATTATTAAAAGTGTAAATTTCCTCTAGAAACAATTACCCAATGATTGTGAAAACATACTTAAAAATTGACTTGATCAAATGTTTATCTAACAATGCTTCTTGTCTATTTTATTTACCTGACATATATAACAATTTTATTTATTGAAATATTAATATTTTAATATATATGTACTTAACGTCTTTAAAATTCCAAACTATATCTCTCTAGTAAGAGATATCGATATTACAATAGAGATGAGACTACAGAAAGATTAGATTGAAGAAGATGACGAATGTTATAATTGATATATTAAAAAATTAAAATAGAATAAAGTCTATCTTTTACTTATGTAGTTGATCAACATCGCCTTCCTTTCATTCTCCAGCTGATATCATAGGGAAGAAGCACTGCAAATTTACTTACACATGAATCATAATACGTCCTAATTAAACCTCTGAAAAACAATGACATCAAAGCTCAAATTGTACCGACATACACACTTTCATTTTACGTGATATTTATTTTTTAGTTTATTATAATAAAAATAAATAAATTTAATTATATTAAGTCAAACTGACCTCATGTAAATTAAGATAGAAAAAATATATGATAAAAACACGTTTACTCATGAAAAAAATGAGACTGTATCTTGTCATAATATTTAAAAAACATATTTCACTTGTTATTTTTTTTTAAAAAAAACATGAAACATAATGATGAAATTATGTTCAAAGCTAAATTAGCTTACCTTATTTTGATATTTCAAAATAAAATTTTATAAATTCAAAGCTACATAGAAAATATTGAAAATTTTATTTTTTCATATTAATATAATAAAAATATATATTTTAAAATATTAATCAAAATTTATATTATTTGATTCTCTCTACAATAACTACAAAGGAATAGAGAAAATATTATTATATTAATATATGACAAATCAAAATCCTATATAGAGATAAGCGTGACACAATATTATTATTTTTAATATATCACAAATCATAATCTTATAGAGATAAGCTTGACACAATATAATTATTTTTATAATTCATCAAATTACGATTAAATATGAAGATTTACCCGCATAAAATAAATAAATAATAACAACAGTCGGAGATGAGAGGCTTCTGACAAGGATTTACAAATCTTACGAAAAAATAATACATATTATTCAATGTAGGATGAGATGGTTTACAGATCTAATTTTTTTTTATATATTACAAATAAATATTATTCAACTTAGTAGATAAAACACCTAATATATAGGTAATAGTTTACAAGTCCGAAGAAAACTTTATATAAATCAAGCAAAACAAATATGAAGCTGTAAATTCTTATACAAATAAAGAAACACTTTTGAAGTAAATTTATACAAATTAAAACAAAACAAATCTGAAATAATAGATAAAGTTTTCTTTTTATATAAAAATAAAAATATGTTAAAATTTTTGAAACTTGAAAAGAAAATAGATTTGAAGCAGATTTTGGAATTTAAAAATTAATCTCACAAAAACTAGATGATTTTATAGACATACATATATTTATCAAAAAAATATATATATATTTCCAAAATCTTAGATCTAAGGGAGGAAGAAAGAAAAAGAAACATTAGCTTACTTCATATTCCCAATATTAGACTTGACTACTGTGATATGAGTCCCATGGTCTTTGAAATCCTGTGTGAGAGAGAAATAATAAATAAATATTTACACAATCAAAATATTTATAAACTAAATATTACTATTAAAAAAATCCATGATAATAATTAATTAGCATTTTAAAAGGTAATTGATTAACATTCTGTATAATGTTAAATTACATCGATCAGTGTAAGAAAGAAAATGTTCAGTATATATAACTTAAATTCTAAAACGATACCTTGTGATAAGGAAGAGCCACCATAGTAGGTACCTGACTCTATTGGAGCATAAGGATTAGGGTTAAAACCCAAGATTAAAGAAGGCATTATCTTAATTTTTGTAACTCCAGATCCCTCAATTATTTCTTTGTTTGCTTGTAATTTGTTCTTGAAAAAATGTTGTTCCATTTCACTAATATCTTTTTTTCCAAAAAAATTAGCTGATTTGTGGCTAGTTTCAATTTTGGTCCACATTTTCTTGATTGTTCTTTCCCTAGCTCGTGCTCTTGCCTTTTTCCTTAACTCTTTTAGTGTTACTTCTTTTGCTCTTTTGGGATTTCTTTCTAAACCCTTGTTGTTGATTGCTCCTACATAAATATAATAGAATAGAAATAATTTTAGTTGAACGGACCATACAAAAAACATCTTAGTTTCTAATTGGCTATGACGTGGAAATAAAATTAAAATATAGCTAACTTCAGATATGTAGTTAGTTCTCAAGCAATTTCTTCAGATCTTATAATACTACTTCAGATATGTAGTTAGTTCTGAAGCAATTTCTTCAGATCTTATAATACTATCGTATAATTATGTGTCTTATTTCGACTTTTAGTTCAAGACAGGGCAAGACAGAATGAGTTCCTTAGGGAAAAACCTAATTTTGATACTTGCTTAGAGAACCTGAAATTTTCGGGCGATGAGTCTGATGAGTTGACCAATTAGTGAGCTCCTCAAGGGCTAATTCGGAGTGTGTAAATAGCCAATCAATGGTTTTGCTTGGTTTGTCAAAACCTAGAAGTTCTTGAAGATCAAAGAACTTTCTAGCCATGTTAATGGAGAGTCTTATCCTTCTATCTCTTGGACCTTGAGCCGTCAAAATCTTACCACATGACCTCTCCCTTTTCTTGGATTTCTTCTTCATGGGGAACGACCTTAAGGAATTATCACAATAATCTTCATTGTTCTTTGCCAAGTAATAATGACTAGAAAATTGATTTTGGTAATATTGATGAAGGAGAATTTGGTTGCCAGTGAAACCAAGAAAGGGAGAAGAGGTGTGAAAGGATGAGGAAATGTAGTGAGGAAGAGGGTTATCATGAGTACTACTATTACTGGCAGAGAACATTTTGGTCAAAGGAAATTAATTAGGGTTGTTGAATTTGGACTATAATATTGAAGAAACAAAACAAAAGAGCTTCTTAGGGCAAGTAATTACCACTTCAATTCCACAAAAGCTCCATGCATTAGAGTATTTTGGCTTTTACAAACAAAGGAGGGATCTTGATGGAGCTTTTTCTTTTTCTTTTCTTTTTGGGGCTAGAATGTGTTCTAAGGAGAGCAAGAGGAGGCTTTTAATATCACTCGGAGAGACAATTATACCCCAATCACAAGCAAATTATTAGAACCGCGTCTGAATTGAACCTTCAATATTCAAAAATAATTAATCAACTGATTTACTAAGATTTTCCATAATTAAGTTACTATTCCATTTTATAAGTAAATCATAATTGAAGATCACAAACATACAACAAGAATAATTAATACTCCCTCCGTCCTAATTTAAATGTGTCATTGGAATGAACACAAAATTAACACTATTTTAATACAGACTAAAAAAAAAGTACAACACTTAACTCAGGACGGAAGAACTAACATTATTTGACCCTTAATAATAGTTTTACCTTGCACTTAAATCAATCATAAGTAGAGTTAAAGACTTCTAACATATATCGTAGTATTTTTCCCTTTTTAATTCAAACTTATACCCTTATTTATGATTATGAAAGTGATAGACATAATAATTGGATCTATGTATATTAACAAAGGCACACATTTATGGACAAATAGAAGAGTAGATTCATCTTGACCAAAAAAAGAAGAGTAGATTCATTAAGTCTAAAATAAAATTGAAGAAGCTAGGTATATATGAAAGAGAGTACTCCAAATATAGCATATTAAAATTATAAAAGCAAGGGTTGGCATTGGTTAACCCCGTGAGCTTTATGTTAGGACAGTAATTGAACAAATACATGTACTTATTTCTTTCTTTTTTTCTTTTTTTTTAAAAAATAAATAATCAAACATCCATCATGTTGAGACAGGTACATGTACTTTTCACTTGTGTTCACAAAAAGTCAAGACAACCTAATTTATGTTTGTTCTGACTGGGACCTCATCATCACTTCACTCAAATTACTACTTCTATGACTCTCTAAGCCTAGCTAAATGTTCCTATGATGTGTAAAAGCAAACCCTAATAAAATAAACACTACATGCATGATGATGTAATTTTATTATTACCTTTGTTTCGAAACAAATGATATAATTTAACTAGACATGGATTTAAGAAAAATAAAAAGATTTTTTTTTATCTTGTGACTCTAAATTAAAGTTATATAAAATATATCAATATGTCTTTTTTAATTTCGTGATCTTAAACATGACACGAGGAAAACCGAAATTTAAGTGTTGACAACAAAGAAAATGAGTCATTCTTTATTAAATAGACTAAAAAAAAGAAAGGTCATTTTTTAAAATGTAGGGAGCAAAGGATTAAAACATCATTTTGACCAAGTTTCGAGTTAATTTCTTAGATGGTTGCTTAATTAATAATTATCATATTACCTCAAAAAGTCAATTTTTTGTTAAACAGAATTAAAATCAAGAAAACATATTACTCTCAAAAATAATAATTATTAGTTGAGTAGCGAGAGACCAACCCACCAAATTTCTACCGTGTTCATTTTGAGAATCAATTTTGTCAAAATAGATTTTTGGGTAAGTACATTTGAAGAACAACAACTTGTCTTTGACAGTCCATTAGAAAAGTATTTTTAAAACAAATCATGTTTGACCAATTTTTATGAGAACTATTTTTGGGTGTCAAATTACCAAAAAAAATTAATGGTAATGCTGATTTTGCGTATACAATATTTAAATAGATAAGAGATTTTAAACCTTTATTTGAATTATTTTTTTTATGTTCAAATTTAAAGCATAAAGCAAAAAGAAGTTATTAATCCATACACATATTGATTCCTTTTCTACTCATCTTTTTTTCTACTTTCAACATGGTTACTTACATGTCAATATAAAACTGCACTGAGGACAAATTTGACATTTCAAATATAAGCACATACATGTCCTCCATAGTAACAGTCATGTGTGCTGAAAAAGGCAATTTAGACAATAAAGATAAAAAGAAAATGATAAAGATCACGTCACACGTGGCTTTAATTTATATTACACAAATCACTCCACTAAGCAACTACATCATAATCTCTCTATATGCATATATAACAACATCATACTATCTCTACTCTCTGCCTCCTTGTTTGTCTAATTTGTTGTTGCTTCATCCATTATGTTTAATTAATTAGTCACTCCATCGAACTTCATGAACATTGAGTGATGGAGGTTTGTACTCGTTGTTCATTTTCTATTCTTAAGATATTTATAATAAAAATTTAGAAGAATTTGATAAGAAATGATAAAATTTAAAAAGCATTTTCAAAATTAGAAAATTAAAATCAATAGAAAATATAGAATCAGAAATAGATGACAAACAATATACAAAATATTTTTCTTAAAGAAAAAAAATCGAATACATTAAATGCATATTGTTCCTTTAAGGAAATTACTCTCCTCAAGTACCCGAGGTTAATTGAATGTATCCTTCCAGAATAGAATGATCTTACTTACTGGTGTATCGGTACCTAAAATCATTGTGTTAACAAACCATTCAACAACAGTAAACTACACTAAGAATACTAGATGTAGTAGTAGTAGAAGTCCAAAAAAGTTTGTTATTTTAAAATGAGAGGAAATCTCTCAATATATAGAAACCAAAGGGTAGTGTGAAAAGGTTTTTATTGTACCTTATCGGAAAGGTCACAATCCTTTGAAAAAAGTCATAATCTTTTGGAAAGATCACAACATTTCATAAAAGTCACAATCTTTCGGAAAGATCACAATCTTTCATAAAAGTCACAACTCTTCACAAAAGTCGCAACTTTTCAAAGCCACAACTCTTCATAAAAGTCGCAACTCTTCATTTTCCATTCACACCTTTCAATATCTAACAATCCCCCGCATGAATGGGGAATGACTCCAAGATAAAAAAACGGACAAGTATGTGTACTTTACAAGTAAGGATCAATTGCATCTGGATAATAGGCTTCCCATTGAACTTTCTATAGTGAATATATGTCGAATATACTCAGTCAATCGGTAGATGTGATGTCTTTGAACTGTCGAGCTTTGGTATATACCTAGACAACCATATGTCACACAATTAACCTTTTACCGTTTATGATTCTTACGGTTGTGCTCGTTTCAGGCATGAACACCTTCTGGTTTCATGAGTGTATAGAGAATAAGCTTTTGATAATAATTCTCATTGAAACGACTTACATTTTACACTCACATAGGTAATTTCTAATCGTGTCATCGCGTAGATACACTATTTGGTCAAGTCTGCCAGACTTAGTAAATCATTAAAAAATTTAAGCTTTATTAACTCATTAACAAGCCTTAATGTTTTAACCTCGTTTCTGGAAATTTTCTTCATTATGAGAATGAATTGAATTCATTGACAATGTTGAACCGTCAGTCACAACTTTATTTTTCTCCTTGAATCTAGCTCTTGGATCTCCAGTCTGCAAGATAGAGTTACCACCATAATGACTTGTCCTAAGCCGAAAACACATTCCCTTAGATGCTTTTTCAACTTTTTCTCTAGTTAGGCCTTTTGTAAGTGGATCTGCCACATTATTCTTTGACTTTACATAGTCAATTTGTGATCATTCACTAGAGGATAGTTGTTTTCTAACGGTATTATGTCAATATCTTATATGACGAGACTTTCTGTTATACATCATGTTTCATGCACTATGTATTGCATCTTGACTATCAAAGTGTATGCACACTGATGCCAAAGGTTTGGACCAAACAATATCTATCAAGAAATTTTTGAGTCTTTCAACTTATTCACTGGTCTTATCTAGAGAACCTAGATCAAAGATCATTGTAGAGTTAGCAATACATGTCTTTTTTGAAAGATTTCCTGAAGACTGCTTCTCCACCAAGAGTAAATACATATCCACTCGTGAATTTATTTTTTTTGATCCCGTTGATCTAAATTGCATCACTATATCCTTCAATAGATATTGTTATACTGTAAGACATAGTTTTAAGTATGTTTTAAATACCCCAAAACTCTTTTCATTGCGATCCAATGAATTTGATTGGGATTATTTGTGAACCAACTCACTTTATTAACAACACATACTATATCTGATCGGGTACATTTCTTGATATACATCATACTTCCCAATACTCTAGCACAATCCAATTGTGAGACACTTTCACCTTTACTCATTTGAAATGCAAGTTCACATCCATTGGAGTCTTGACAATATTGTAATCCAAATATTTTAACTAGTCAAGTACCTTTTTGATGCAATGAGACTGTGACAATGTTAAACATCATGGTGTTCTAAGGATTCTTATATCTAAGATCGCATCAGCAACTCCACGATTTTTCGTATCAAACTTGCCTTTTAGCATTTAGTATAATTTATATCATTAGTGTCTGTATTGATGATCAACATGCTATCAATATACAAACAAACAATGATTGTGTGATTTTAATGTAAACACATTTATCACTTCATCATTCTTAAATCCATTTGCCAACATGGTTTGGTCAATTTTCTTGTTGTTTGGGTGCTTGTTTTAATCCATAAAGTGACTTAACAAGTTCACACATTTTTTTCTTTACCAGGAACCACAAAACCCTCGGACTGTTCCGCGTAAACTTCTTCCTCCAATTCTCCATTTAAGAAAGTTATTTTCACATATGTTTGATAAGTTTGGAGGTCATATACCACAACTGATAATATTAGCGTGAACTTACAGTCATCATCGAGAAGATGCAAAGGATCAGAAAGAAGAAGATACAGAGAATTATGGAAGAAAGAAACTCATTTTCATTAAGCTGAAAGAATTATGGAAGAAAGAAAACTCATTTTCATTAAGCTGCAAGAATTATGGAAGAAAGAAAACTCATTTTCATTAAGCTGAAAGCATCTAAAAAAAACTCTTTACATTGCTATGTCTATATAAAGAAAAGTTACTGTGTTAACTACCTCTTACAACCTTCTAACCGTCTAACTGCTTTTAAAATAATTATCTCAAGAACTGCTCTAATCCTAACAGTCATAAGTCAGTTCTTCAATCCCAGCTTAAAAAATAAGTGTTCATGTGACAGTCTTCCTAATCCATTAGTGAGCAAATCAGCTAGTTGTTTCTTTGTCGATACATGCAGTTTTTGAATCAGTCATTGAATAATTTTTTCTCTTACAAAATGACAGTCAATATCAATGTGTTTAGTTCTTTTATGAAATATTAGATTAGCAACAATTTGAATTGCAGCTTTGCTA